TTCCAAAAGCAAATATGTTAACGAAGTTCCGACGAGGATAGTGGACCAAACAAATTCCCGGAATTCCTTCCTGGATTTCCCAGAAAAGCCAAAAAAAACCTCGAAAAAAAAATGCAGTTTTTGGCCCATATCTTGGCAACCAGACCACTTAGCGACTTGAAACATAGCGAAAAATAGATATCTATATATTGCTATATAGTACTGTAGTGTATTATGTATAATGTAAGTTTAAAAATTTTTTTGTGACCGAACGAAAGGATATTTTTGAAAACTTTCTTCGGCAATATTGTTCTAAATTATGGCAGAAATCGATTGGTACATGTTTCAAGTCGCTAAGTGGTCTGGTTGCCGAGATATGGGCCAAATACTGCATTTTTTCGAGGTTTTTTGGCTTTTTCGGGAAATCCATGAAAGAAACCAGGAATTATTTTAGCCTATGTTCATCCTCGTAACTTGCTTAACATAATTGCTTTTAAAACTAGTCATCGATATTGCTTCGTTGAGGAGGAGATACGACTTAAAGCTGCGGACACACATACATCCATACATTCATTCATCCATCCATTCCCAGAAATGACGAGTCAATAAACGCAATTCTCCAGAATTGAAATTGCGCTTAAAATATACACACACTACAACCAAAAACAATGAACGTAACACAATCTGTTTTGTAATTTTTGTAAAAAAACGTTTCTTACATAATAATTCCTGGAAAATTATTTAAGACAAGTGAAATAGGGGAAATAATCACTCTCTTAATATGAATATGTATATATCTCTACATCTATCTATATACTACTAAAACTCAAGTTTTTTTTACATGTTTGAATTTTTTTTTTGTTTGTTTGTCTAATTTCTTACTGTAAGGAAACTGCTTTATATGGGGGGCTGTAAAATAGTATGTAGGTAGAAAACAATTTTTGATTGCAGACAGACTGTTAATCACACATTTATTTAAAGACGTTAATTAATTTATTGATTTATTCATAGGTAGATTAATCACATTTTTTTAAAAAGATTAAAAAACCACTAGACTCGACGGAACCGTGAAGTCACAGTTTTTTGTTTACTTTTTAGTACAATAAAATGGCGGCTTCCATCATAGGCCCATTCAAAAGTTTAACGCGTTCTAAATCTAATTTTCTGTCGGCCATAACTTTAACAATACGTCCGTTTGCTGTTTTTATTACGTTCCAACACTAATATAAATTTTCAACTGTCTTTTTCATTTAGTTTTACATTAAATTTCTCTACAATCTGACCAACAAAGTTATTTATAGATCTAAAAATATCATGTGACCAAGCAAGTTATTTATAGATCTAGATCTAGAATCTAGGTCAAACAAAAGATTAGTTAGATACATATCAAAGATTAATTAAATAAAAATACAATCCATTTTATAATCATAATACATTTTTAGTCCTTAAATACTTTATATAAATCTTTGTTATTTATCTATCAAGATCTAGATTCTAGATCTAGCAAGAGTTACGCAAATACTAGATTCTAGACTTAAGACTTAAGCAAACGAGTCGTAGAATCTAGATCTAGATAATTCTATCTAGATCTAGACAATTTCAGACCTTCTTTATTTTATATAAATCTTTGTTTGGCTAATTTAAGCTAAAGTTTAATTTAAAAGTTACTACTACTAGACTTAGATCTAGATCTATGCGCGTAAATCAAGTTGAATAAGGAGACTCAAAGTATTAAACTATAGTATAAAAATTCATTCGTCACGACACGACTAAAAATACAAAGTTGTTAGTGTAATCGGCTCTCATGCGGGTGGCACAGGTTCTAAACCAATACGTCAATGATATTTTTTTTTCAATTTTTATTTTATTTTTTAGATGTGAATGAAAAAGTTGCCTATCTGAACTTGGCGGGATACAGGGCAGGTGAAGTAGAGTTCATCTGTTTCTTTGTCCTAAGCATATGAAGGGATAGCGTGGTCAGAGACATGCTCGGCTGGAATCGTTTTTTAAACGATAAAACATGTTGTCTGAGACTTGGCGGGACACTGGGCAGGTGAAGTTGAGTTTAGTAGATCACCTGTGACGTCAGTATATGAAGGGATAGTCCAAAATCGGTGTTTTCGGTGTTTTTAAAAGATAAAAAACATATTTTTGAATGTGGGGTCTGTTTTTGTGTGACGATAAGTGACACTGCAGTAGCTTAGTGAGGGGGGACGACATATTTCCCCGGGCGCCGACCTTAGGGGGCGCCAAAATGGGTTGAAAAAATAAATTGAAAGGTTGAGGGGGGTGCAAATCGAAAGTTTGAGGGGGGGGGGGGGGTGCAAATCGAAATCTTGAGGGGGGATGCACATCAAACGTTTGAGGGGGGAGGTGCAAATCGAAATCTTGCGGGGGGGGGGGTTCAAATCGAAAAGTTTGTCCCAGGGCGCCGGGAAGGGTCGCTACGCCTATGAGTGACAGACGTAATGTTTTTTGATGGATGACCCCTGAAACCCACAGTTATCCAACGGATGACGGGTAGTCTAGTTTTATTATAAACGTCAAAACAAATAAATAATTACTTTAGAATATAATGAAATTGTTTAACACTATTCGTGTTTACAAAGTGTTTTTGTCTATAATCAGAATTTGATAATCATCATAAATGCTAAAGTATTACAGCATAATGAAAGTTTTTAAAATCAGAGTTGGTATAAAACCACGCTTTTCGACTTATTAGTAAAACATTCGGAATAACAGCCTACATTTAACTAAATAATGGTCTTTTAGTTCAAATCATATATTTATAATTAACTACTGCTTCTTTGTGTTCTTCATAGATCATTTTTAACATAGTGATAGGTAGGGTTAGATCACTGTATTGATCAAACACCTTTTTTACTGGTAATTACAAAAACAATATTCACAGAGTTTTACGTTTAAAAAGCTAATTTTCTGGCGACATGGTACTTTGGTACATCATAACGCGTTTTTCTACATGTACTTAACAGATCAGTTCGGGGTGGTTTGGGGGGGGGGGGGGGGGGGTAGGAGGGGTTCTACTTCATTCACCACTGTGCGGCCACTTTAGGTCAATTATCCAACCCAGCGTATACCTAGGTGTGACATTAATGTCTCTCTACACAATTGTGGTGGTGAGGTGGGGGGTGGATACCCAACTCAGACTGAACATAGTGTCAGTTTTTAGATGACTGTTCTAAACATAGGGGGTCTTCCATAAATGACATCACGCTTTTTTAATCGAGATTTGTAATCTCGACGTTTTACACCTCACTGATACGGAAAAACATAATTTTGCAATCTTGTCCGTATGTCTGTGTGTCTGTGGTGTGAGTGTGAGTGTATGTGTGTGTGTGTAAACACGATAACTTAAGTACCGTTACAGCTAGGTTGATGAAATTTCATATATATGTATTTTATCAAAATCGTAGATCCATATCAACTTTTGAGCGATTTCTGATAACCGGAAGTGGTATTTTTTGCACTTTGAATTTTTCAAAGCCTATAACTTGAGTACTATTTCAGATAGATAAATGAAATTTCACACGTAAGTGAAATATCTAATCCTCTACCTTCTATCAAATTTTTAGTAATTTCCGTTGACCGGAAGTAGTAATTTACGCTATTTCCTATTTCTCAAAAAACTCTTGTAAATTTATAAAATACTAATAATATTCCGCACTATTATGCACATTTTGTTTTGGCGTTCGCTTGGTGCGCAATGTTTTTTTCTATGAGATTCTATTCTATTTTAAAAATTTTAAGTATTTAAAATGGATTAAAAATCATAACTATATCCCGAGTTCCCATCCCCTGTTGTTTTATATAAGGATATTCGAGAAAGTTTATGGGAGATCACTCCCGGTTTATTTTTAAAAAAAGCTTTGGTCGCTCATGAGTTCTCGCTTTTTTTTAAAAGAGTGAGTTTGTTGTTTTGTTTTGTTATTTTTAGTGCATTTAAAAGCTTGTCATTATAAAAGTTTTACATTTTTTAAAGACGATAATTGTATTGACAAAGCTCCGAATACAATCCATTTTGTTGTCCAACCTTCAGGGTGAATGCCAACAACTACAATGTACTCCAGGTAAATTATTATACAATGGAACATGTACTACAGCAATTCCACAGTTCAGAGGACTTGGCTACAGGCTGAAGATTTGGCTGGTGCCTGACCTGAAAAGACTGAATCACTCCATCAATAACGTTACAGTTTCCAAAGTGGTAGCACCGTTTAGAAATAAAGTAAACATCTGGTTTTTAACATACATTGCATTTCCATATTTCGACCAGTTAGTTTATTTAACGTATTTTTTGTGTTTAAATTTTTTAGAAATGCATAAATTGTGAAAGATAGCTATTTTACTAATTGTGTCTACAGTTAGAAGAAATCTTATCATCTGTAAGCCAGGGATGGAAGCTACATAGAGGCATCATAGTTAAACACAACACTGACCACAACACTGACCACAACACTGACCACAACACTGACAACAACACTGACAACAACACTGACCACAACACTGACCACAACATTGACCCAACCACTGACAAGCAAACTGACCTGAACTATCCCATCGTTTTCTGGGTGGATGCAACCATTTTGTCCAAGACTCAAGTCTCACGGGACGAGATAGAAAACACGATCGTACAAAAGTTCATCAACAAATCAATGCAACTGGAAGTTGAACAAACAGATCACGTCTTTTTGGACCCAGTCATCATGGTCAGTGAACCCAAGAACAGCTTATCTTGTAGATATTGGGCACAGGTTAAAAATTATTCGTGTAGCGAAGAAATTACTTTTTCACAAACATTCGATACAAAACTTCACGCGCATATCCTACAATTTTGGAAAATTTTCATTAAAATTTCCAACCTTCTGTTGTGTAACTATGTGAGCTATAACAAAACGTCCTACACCATTGAAGTGGACGAGACCAGAGCACCGCCTAAGATAAATATAGAGCTGGATCTTGTGGGGACGAGAATCACTTTCTCGGAATTCAGTGAGCTGAACATGTTGGCGCTTGACGGAGACGACGTGCTCAACGTCTGCCGTCAACTGCTGGACACAAAGCTCACTCTAGTGGACAGCTTGACCAGTTCCAAAAGGTCTGGACAACGTTATGGCTGGACAGTTGAGTATATCCTGACTCTGGTTGTGATGTCTGTTTCCATGACGTGTCTTCTGGCGACTCTACTGACCTACAGTCTGTTTCCTGTGCTACGGAGCAGAGCAGGCAAGAGAAATATGTTTCTGTCTGGGAGTCTTCTGCTGGCACACGCTTCATTGTTGGCTACGTCACATATGTAAGTGTGTCAGTTTTAGCTACGTCAAGTATGTGAGTGGGTCATGTTAGCTACGTCACATATGTAAGTGTGTCATTTGTTAGCCACGTTGCATATGTAAGTGTGTCAGTTTTAGCTACGTCACATATGTGAGTGTGTCATTTTAGATACGTCACATATGTAGATGTGTCAGAGTTGGTTACATTAGATTTTCCTTAAAAGCTAAAGCAAAAAACATTACCGTTACATAAAAAATGACAAAATACTAATTATTTCAATTATACTTTCAATGATCTTGATGTTGGTTGTTTTTTAAAATTAATTGTTAAAAATGTTAAATTAAAAAAAAAAATTGTTTTTCCCAGATCCGGCCCCAGCTGGCTGTGTACAGCTGTTGGTGTCTCCACCCATTTCCTGTGGCTGTGGATGTTCACGTGGACGTTCATCTGTAGCTTCCAGATGTTCAGGGTCTTCACCGCTATCAACATCCCAAACTACACCCTGAACCAACGTGACCAGACCTTGGAGTTGATTCGGCAAATAGTTTCCTCCTTCATTTTGCCATTGGTCGTTGTTATTACTGTGATCGTGACGTCATTAATCAAAACACAAGGAAGAACAACTGGATATGGTGATGTCGTCTGCTATTTGAATTCTCCGTTTCTTGTTGGTGAGTTGCTATATGCTGACGTTTTTATACATTATTTATAGGAAATAACCCTAGGACAAAATGTGTAAACACAAAATATTTTAGGATAAAATTTTCAAGACAAAATATGTCTTACAACAAAATCTCAGTCTAAGTATTTCATACAGCCTACAATGCTTTTAAGTTTCTTCAACATACCTTCGAAAGTGTACATTATTTGGGTTTATTCTATCACTTAGTAAATTTAATATTCCTTATCTTTTATTTTGCTGAGCTTGTAAGCGATATTATTATCAACAGGAGTTTCCATGGTGGCGCCCCTAATGCTAGTTGTCGTCTGCAACTTGGTATTTTTCACCATCACGGTGGTGAAGATACACAGCGTAGCTCTGCTCCAGTCTAACGACAGACGTGAGGACCGCAAGAACCTGTTTGTCTACGCCAAGTTGTCCTCCATGACAGGAGCCTTTTGGGTGCTGGGGGTCATCGATGGGGCAGTGGACGTCAGTGCTTTGAGGTTGTTTGTTGTCAGTGGTTTAATTTGTTGTTGTAATATTAGTTTTTAATGATATATATATATATATATATATATATATATATATATATATATATATAGAGAGAGAGAGAGAGAGAGAGAGAGAGAGAGAGAGAGAGCGAAAGAAAGAGATAAATACATACAGAAAAAAATAGATGTAAAAACGTATTCATGAACATTTAATAATTATTTTACTTATAAATATGGATTAGCGTACATATATAAAATATAAATTTACACATACATATGTATAAGAATATATATATATATATATATATATATATATATATATATATATATATATATATATATATATATATATATATATAATGTTACATAAATACTTGATGTTTTAAAATACTTTGCCCATAGGTATGTCTCCATTGTGCTAAATGGCTTGCAGGGCGTCTTCATCTTCATATCGTATGTCTGCAGTAGAAAGGTTTACAAACTCTACTCGAGCTTCACAAGTCAGGAACCTCAGTCTACCGCACCGCCTACGGAATCTCAGTAGAGACCCAACCTATTGAACTATCAATTAATTAGTGACCCATTCTACTCCACCAGCAAGTAATAAGTTACATAGTCTACTTCACCTCCAAAACAAATGCTGTAGAGACCCTGGCTACTTAATTACCAAAATAAACACCTGAATTAAATAATTAAACGAAAATCCCATCTAATATTTTGTTTATCAGTGACAAAGAGAAAACAAGAAAACCATGGGTTCGGCGTGGTCGAGTCGGTAAAGCTCATGGTTGCTAAACCGAAAAGTCCATCGGGCAGATGAGGTTCATTAGCTGGGGACAGCCACTCTTCTATGAGAGACAACTCCAAAATCAAACAACTGCTGCCTTGTAGCTTGTTCTTGGTTGGACAAAGGCTATGGAAGCAAATCCAAAAAGAAAAGCAGGCTGAAATCGGAGTCAATGGCCTCATGGCGCATAACCAGTTGACACGTAATCCTTAATTGTGATGGAGGGGGGGGGGTGCCTTCCAACACTAAAATTAAGAACAAAGAAGAAGAAGAAGTATCAAACCCACGGCCGTTTAAAACAAAACAGATATACAATCATATTTTGTTCGTACTTTCTAAGTACATGAAACTTATTCACTGTAAACTCTAATAAATAAATAAATAAATACGTAGGACTATATTGTAGTCTGTTTTTGATTTGACTATATTTGACTTAACTAAAATGTATGTATTACATAATCTTTCATCAGCAGACACGTATTACTATATGCTACTACTTTTCAAGTACTTCACCCATACAAATATACTTATGTGCAAATACAGATAAATTACTGTACGTACAAACAAGGTACGATGAACATAGAAATGTCTAAAACTGGCATGTGGAAAGTGAATTTATTAAAATGATTGTTCACATTTTAACATTTGTATGTTATTTTTTATGCATACTGTGCGGAAGGCTTTTGAAATATAATATGAGAAATATAAATTTACGAGCCGACCCGCGGTGTATCATACGCCGCTATTTAGTTGTTGTTTTTTCTACTTTTCAGTAATTCATAATTTGTGAATTCGACGCAGAGGCGTAGCTAGGGGAGGGCGGGGAGGGCGGCCGCCCCGGGCGCCGACCCTAGGGGGGCGCCAAAAGGGGTAGAAAAAATAAATTAAAAGCTCATTTTAAGCTGCAGTTTTGAATTATAAACAGTCAAAGTAAAGAAATTTAACGGCTGAGAGCCTTTGCATACTGATTTAACTGTTTTCTACCTTGATTGTGTAACTGTAAAACATATATCTTTAAGAAACAGTGACCGGAAAAACCGCTTTCCAGCTTTCGTAGATGGGGAGGGGGCGCTTTTTCGAAGACTAAAATCGGAAAAATTCACACTGGATTAAGGAATAAATAACCGATATCACTCAGAAAAGAAACCCATTGAACTAGAGCGTATTTTACGATTGTGTAAGATAAAAATGAGTTAGTGACGTTTAAAATCCGCTCTACCTTTTTTGTCCAAGATGTCGGGGCGCTTTTTCACTAACAAAAAGCGCAGGATTTGTACTGGATCGGTTGCTAGATAACTCTTTTAACACTTAGAAAAGAAATCAATTGTATTAACACTTAATGTACGATTTCACTACCCAGTTTTGCTAAGTAATAACGCGACTATAGTTCTTTGAACGATTTTTACGATTCTCTCAACTTGATCGAGAGAGATCAGATACTTTTACTTGATTGCATTACATCTTGCCTGAATCACTGCATTAAAGAGAAACAAATATGACGGATTCTTGTATCGCTATCCGATCAGTAAAATAGCAGACTGTCGGAGCGGGTGGATGGGAAGCGACACTTTTTGCCAAAATTTTAAGAGAGAAGAAAATTAGTATATTGTACTGATTATTACTTTGTTCAACCTAACTAATAATTCAAAATGGCAACATTGGCCTACTATGATCGAAATTGTTCTAAAGACAAGACCAAAAGTAGACCAAATAAGGTTAGCACCTTCTACAAAATACACTCTAAACAGTGGTTCTTAACTTTTTGGAGTACCGAACCCCACCATTTTCATATGAGCAGACACCGAACCCTTCTTAATAGTTGTATCGTCCACACTGACAAATCCGACCGTGAATCAAATGAGTCGGCTGTGTGTCTTGACCTCCGCGGAAGCCCTGAGACTGAATTACCGAACCTCGCGGGTTCGATGGAGCCCACTGTTCTAAGCTCTTTTGATTTTCTACTTTTTATTCGTTTCGGCATCTTAAGAGGTATTTAATTGGCGTCCAGTGAAGTTTTAGGGAACGACAATCAGCGTAATTGTTAATTTTTTTCCAGACTGTCGCACACACAAAAACACATATACCTATATATATATATATATATATATATATATATATATATATATATATATATATATATATATATATATATATATATACATATATACATATATATATATATATATATATATATATATATATATATATATATATATATATATATATATATATATGTATATATATATATATATGTATATATATATATGTATATATATGTATATATGTATATATATATATATATATATATATATATATATATACTTTTATACAATTTATTTCAATTGAAAATGATATCTAATTGTTTTTTCTAAGTAAACACAATTTAATCCCACTACTGTTGACTTAATTTTACGATAAAGTTTTATCAATATTATTTTATCAATTTAATCTCAGCAAAGTCTAAATCCGTAGGAAATGGAGACACCAAAACGACCCATACCGTGTCAGGTTGCTGAATTTGAGCGGGGTGATCATCATTTGACGTAAATGAAAATGGAAGCAAATTGAAGCTTTTGTTGTCAGAAGAGATTTTTAATCTCTAGATGATTAATACTTACAGCAAACACAATTCAAACGGATGCAGAAGTAGGTGAAATATAAAACTGGTTTTATTTCACGACAATTCTTGCGATGCTGCAATGAATAAAAAAATATGAGCCTTTGAGTTTTTTCTAAACCCAACACTTGACATAAGGTTTTTAATCGAGTACACTATCACACAAATCTTTCCTTTTATTTAAACATGCACTTCTTGGCTGATGGATTCAGTGTTTCTCCCAGACTTATTTCTCCGGGGGGGGGGGGGGGGGGGGGAAGGGTGCACTTGAAATTTTCGGGGGGGGGGGGGGGGTAAAGTATATATTTTCTATATAAATTCCATTTCGTTCGGGGGAGTGGGGGCGGTAGACTTTTCTTGTGGGGGGGGGGGGCGAAGGGATGCCTGGAAGAAACTCTGTATGTATTGCAATCTTCAGAAACTTGTTACAACGTTACAGGCAGTGGCGTTGTGTTTAAGACGTTGACATGAAAAAAAATGGCAGCTTATAGTTTTGTAGATCAAAAGATCGATGGGACCAAAAGGCCAACATACTTAGTATTAAAAGTGATGGGACCAGGTCAACATACTTAGTATTAAAAGTGATGGGACCAAAAGGTCAACATACTTAGTATTAAAAGTGATGGGACCAAAAGGCCAACATACTTAGTATTAAAAGTGATCATTAAAAATTTGCGGAGGAGGAGCGGGGTGGTTTTTTTCCCCCACTAAGAGCAAATAAATTAGATAAGAAAACAAAACTTACATGTCGGTAAATTGTATTCGTATCCGCTTAAGCGGGACGTATTGATATGACGACGGAATATTGACGAAATAATGCTAAAAAAAAACAACAACAAACAAACTATTAAACATACACACATACATTTTTTACCATAGTGATTATGTGTATGATGCGATTCGATCTCCAAAATAAGTTACGCATTTTAGATTTAAATATACAGTATTCTAAAATACCAACCGGTTTTCTTAAAATTAGCACAGCCAGCACCAAAAGAATTGCCATGTTATGAAAATATTAGAAAAATTATTATATTGAAAATATTAGAGTTTTTAAAAATCTCACCATTACAAGACAAAACGTATTAAAATTTACAAATTTCTTAAAAATTTAAAACGAAAATTTTATGCCATGTTTCAATACCTTTGTTAACGTATTTTTAAGGTGTTAATAAGTGAGTAGCACATTAACACAGTTTTTTACTTTCTCGTATATACGAAGTATAGAGAAAGTCTTTTAATCGTGCACAAAAATCACATTAAATTTGGACAGTTTTCACCGTTTTACTCCTCAGTCCTTCATCACATCCGGGATGTAGAGGACTTATTTTAATCACGCAAAAATTATAAATCAAGATTTATGCGTAATGGAGTCGGAAAAACTGGATTATCCCATTCTGTCCGTATGTCTGTGTGTCTGTGTATAAACACAATAACTTGAGTACCGTTACAGCTAAGTTGATAAAATTTCATATACAAGTATTATATCAAAATCGTAGATCCGTATCAACGTTTGAGCGATTTCCAATAACCGGAAGTGGAACTTTTTCTACTTTGAATTTTTCAAAAGCCTATAAATTGAGTACTATTTCAGATGGATAAATAAAATTTCACATGTAAGTAAAAGATCTAATTCTCTGCCGTATATATAATTTTGAGTAATTTCCGTTGACCGGAAGTAATAATTTTAGCTATTTCCGATTTCTCAAAAAGCGCATGTGAATTTATAAAGTACTAATAATATTCCGCACTATTTTGCACATTTTATATGACGTTCACTTAGTGTGCAATTCTTTTTTCTACGAGATTTTATTCTATTTTAAAAAGTTTAAGTATTTAAAATGGATTAAAAGTCATGTCTATATCCCGAGTTGCCATTCCCTGTTGTTTTATATAAGAATATTCGAGAAAGTTTTGGGGAGATCACTCCCAGTTTATTTAAAAATATGTCACTTTTTTGTGTTTTTACATGTACAATAAACAAACACTTTTTTCTGAAAGTTGTAAAAATGCTTACTAACAGTAATATCTACAGCCGGAACTAAAAGAATGGCATTGTATTTTTTTTTAAAAATATAATTTGAAAAAAAACATCTGATCCATTATTGAAAACAAAATGGAAAATGGAAACATTTCTAGA